GGTTTCTAAACAAAATGAGTTTTTATCATGTGGTTAGAATGAGGTGTGTGTTGGGTGGGAAGGACAGAAAGTGTGAGGAGGCTTGTGTTCCTGTGGCGGGAATCAGGATGGTCAGCTGGTCGACTTCCTCCCCTACAGTGCTGGACCTGGCACACACGGTTACAGCCAAAGTAGAGACGTCAACATGGCTGACGACACCCCAGGGAAACTTTCCAGAACTGGCCCTTGTCTTTTTTCTTTCCTTCACACTTGGCTGTCATATACAAACCCCAGAGTGCAGCAATGAAATGTCTAAAAAATCCTATTGTAAGAAAGACTTCATGCACTGGATTTGGCCCTTAACTTGGCACTCTTTGGTTTCTAATTAACAGCATGTTGGAGACTTGAACACCCTTCATATGAAATTGATTCTGAAATGTCACATTTTTCATGCTTAATGAAGTGTAAGTCTGGCACCCGGCTGCACGCCATGCTGCTGCAGACAATTAGATTTTGGCACCAGATATTTTTGTACCAGCTCCTGAAACAGCAGCATGTCTGGACAGGGAACTTGTGATTAGTTGACAAATGGAAGTGTTTTTTTTTTATTTTTGCCCACGTTTGTGTTTCTGGAATACATGTGACCCTGTGTTGTTACACAGTCTGCCTATAGCACCCACCATGTAACATATAGAATTGTTTTAGTTTGCATAATTGATTAGTTGAAAAAATTTTTTACTACAAAGAGCCACATTTGTTTCTCATTCTTAAAGTGTAAATTTTGAATAAAACTCCTTAATCAAGAATGAATTGAGACTTTGTGCCCAGACCAAAGTAAAAGCCAGTGTTTTAATTGGCCATTTAAAGCCCATGCCCCCTTCTGTTTGCCTGAATACTGGCTGATTAACTGACTGATTGGATTATTTAGAAGAGTGGCACTTAACCCTCCTGTCCACAAAATGTTCCTCCAGCATTCCCAGTTTTAACCAGCTGAGTTTATGAACCACTTAAAAACTCACTGCAATCAGATGACTCATCTGTAAAAACAGCAGGCTCGGATATGGATCTCTCTACTGAAGGATGGCAGCTCAATACCAGACCAAATTATACAAGAAATATGTCCCGATCAATTGTGCGACCATTTACAATAAGGGTCTGAAACACTGGAGTTAGATTTAAGAATAAATCTTATCACCATAATCTTCAAAACTCAGCATCGGAAGTGATTAAACTGAGCTGATTTTCTAGTGGTTATTTTAGACCTCGTTAATTTGAAACATTCATTTTTATAGGACTTATGTAAATCTAATTATCAAACCCTTTGACTGTTTCACCATATGGGTGATTAAAATATTGGGTCATATGAAATAGCTGACAGTTAACCCCTCCTTCCCCACTGATGAGCTTTTAATCTGGTTGAATTCATGATCCAGTTAGATTCACTGGCTCCCTCATTGTAAACAGCTGTTTTGCAGACGTCGTTTTACTAACTCAGAACTGTAAACCTCCATTTGAGGAATTACATCTTTTAGATTTTACATCAGAACCAGCCTGACTCCACTGGTGCCCTGTTAAAATCCAGCTTCAGCTAATTAATTAGTTATTTAACATGACTGTTGCATTAGTTAATTTATTATTTCACATGAAGGTGACATGTGCTGGTCTCTATTTTCCCTGTAGCTATATGACAGGGTTGGAGTGCATTTGGCGGGTCATCCAAAATAAAAGTTTGCCCACAATTTGTATCATATTGATGAGCTGACAAACACAATATTCCCTATTCTCATAGCTGTCGTTTTGAGTTTGTCAGTACACTGTAATTCAACAGCAAAGACAAAATGGACAAATGTTTATATCTTGCCACAATGGTCAAATTTAAGACAAGCTTTAAAAAACAAAACATCTTCATCTTTACAGTATATGCTGTCAGACATATAGTTGACTGCCTGTTTAAGGTGTGTGTGTCTGTGTGTGTGTGTGTGTGCTGATGTATGGAGCTCACAGACGTCTCTGACTGGGGGTGTGTGTGTGTGTGTGTGCTGATGTATGGATGCGTTTTGTGCATGTCTGTGTTTAGTTTAAACATTCAATAATCTGAGGAATGAGGCATCTGTGGACCAGAGGTCTCTGAGCTCACAGACGTCTCTGACTGGGGGCCCAGCTAACGCTGTTGCCTGTGTGTTGCGTTTCTCCCTCTTACTTTAAGGAGCCTCAAACGGAGCCTCTTCCTGGTGAGAGAACTGTCCCCTGGCTTCTTTCCCCCCCATGTTTCATATTGGTGTTTAGAGAAATGTGCTGCTTTTGTGGCAAATAAGTTCCTTGATCAACTTGCTGTTGTGTGACAAGATTATTGGTGACAGTTTTCACAAATGTGTGTCCAGTATTTTCTAACCTGTGCTGTTTTTGAGATGATATAAAAGTATTAAAGATACTGAGCACCAAATAAGTCCTGGACACCTTGGAGAAACTGCTATCAAGCTTGATGAACCAGCAGAAGTTGATTAAAGACCTAATTTGACAGAAGGTCAGTGAGTTACTTTAAGTGGATCTGGCACCATGACGTGGGACAAGCTGTCTCTGTGATCCTAACAGACTTTCTACATCCATGTGACTGAGCTGTAGGTGTGTTTTATGTAAAATATTTATTCATACAGTGTAATATTATGTGGCAGAGGGTCAAATTTCTCCAAACTCAGTTCTTCTATGAGGTAGACTGTTGGTAATTTAAGAGTTCTGTAATAAAAATGTTGCTGTTCCACATTAAAACAGCTGGTATCATGTGCCTAGTTTTAAAAACTGTTGACGAGCTCAGTCAGGTGTCACTGTCATCCTGGATTTTAGATACAGTTTTGACCTAAGTCAGGGTGCAAACTGCAAACACAAGCATTCTAACAAGTCAGTTAATCCCGTATTTACTCTGAGTATCTTATTTCTTAAAACAAGTGTTGGGGAAGAGCCGTTTCTGTGTGAAACAAAGGGTCTGGCTTTTTCACCTGATTTAATGTTGGAGACTAAATGACCTGTTGAGGTTCATCTGTTCAGTGCTGCTGTGTGTAATTTCAGCTGGGTGGTGATATTTGAGAGTCACCGTGTGGCTTTAGTGAAATATTGTGCCATTCATTTCCTCTTTCTCCCTTTCCTTAATTTATTCTTTCTTCCTTTCCCTCACTGCTGATAAACACCTCGGCCTGAGCGCTGCTGTTACTCATAATCAGATCGGTTATGATAACTGTGGGCATTATAGCTTCGCTGCTTCGTTTAAAATGCAATGTGTGGTGACTCAGCTAGCTAATCACACACATTTCTAAGTGTTTTATTGTATGGGGTGATGTGTACAGTAGGTGTGGGCAGCTGTGCTGGTTTTGCTTTGGTGGCTGTGTTAAGGGCAGTAGTGATGAACCTGTATGAGTGAGCTTTATTAAAGCTGATGTACAGTGGATTTATTCTTAACAGTGTTGCTACATGATCTACTACTGGCCTGAAATGTCTGTGGGTGTGCTGCCAGTGTTTTGCTCTGTGTCTGTGTTTGTCTAGAGTCTGTGTGTTAGATGTTATGTGTTCATATTCTAGTTTTTAAGCAAAGTAGGAGGTAAACACATGACATTGGACCCTCCTCCCCTCCTCTCCCCCGTACTCGTACTGCTTATACTGTGTATCTCACTTGGTGTATGTGCTTGTGTATTTGTCCTTCAAAATGCATATACAGCAAAATTCTGTATGTGTGTGCAAATGCTTATCATGTGTCGGAGCTCGGTGTGTTTGTGTGTTGACGGTGGAGGTTGAGATGACAGCAGCTTTCCTCGATGTCAGCCCCTCTCTTATGGATTTCCGCATAGATCTGAGAACACAGGCGGCGTGTGAGGGCAATCATTTGTGGCTTAACCAAAGAGGCCGACATGAAACCCAGATCAGTCGCTCCCTCCACCAGACTCTGTCTCTTGAGTCCCTCTGTGTTATAGGGCGCTGTTTGTAAAAATAGCACTTACACTAGTTTTCTCACATTTAGCTGAATGTGACAACAGGTTTTCTCACATTTAGCTAAATGTGACAAAGTCTAAATGTAAATGTTAAATGTTAAATATAAATGTAAATGTTAAAT